ACCTTATACTCCCGAAAATGAATTGCCCAAAACAAATAAAGCACTCCGTAATTAAATAGATGTGTGCATACCTGTTTCAGAAGTGTCAATCACACAAGTGCTAAAGTACTGACCTGTAACTTGAGGAGCATAATATAGATGTACAAGATTCCTAAAACACAGCCGTCAGTATAAAAACTACCCACCAGCTGTTAACAAATAAATGCAGGGCGGCACACTTGTGCAAAACCTGGTTTTTCTAGCGGTTTTTCTGAGAAAACTATTAATATCTGTAGTTAATGGGATGTTGCTTAGGATACGCACATAAGCCTCACCATCTCCCAACATTCCTTCTTTTCTATCCTCACAGTGCTCTTCTTGATACACCCATCGAAAAGACGGCTTATTCTTCACTACAACTCAGAATAAAGTCAACAAACTGCACTGCATCACATAAAATCATTCAGTTAATTGCAAAACACTTCCGAAATTGTTACTGACGAAAAAGTTTTGACACTCGATCGGTTGTCTTTGTTAAGCTGTACGAATCAATGTTTATAGCTTGTCACCAAATGGCAGTAAGTCACCCAACTTTTTTCACATCTGCCCGCAAACCAATCAGCTGTTGCTGGCAGTCACCCTCCCATCCAGAGGGTGGGTCCTGGGAATGAGGTGCTTGCCCTACATGTGGGGATAGCTCATGTGAGCCTTATATATATATATATATATATATTAGACCCTGCTCTGCCAACTTGAACCTACATAGAGCAACTGGCAACGGCTCCATCATACCCTCTGTCCGCTCACACTTGACACGGCTGCTAATCATACACTCAGATTTATACGTAGAAACTTGAAAAGACTGTACACCTCCAGTTAAAGCAGGCACCACAAACAGCTACGGTCAGGCCTAACCTAGGGTATGCATCAATCGCCTGTGACCCCTAATATCAGTAGAACGTTGAGACCCTAGTTCAAGTCCAACGCCGTGTAGCACGCTATATGTCACCAATGATTGGATGAAGAGAAACCCGGGACGTGTCACCAAAATGACACCAGACCTCAACTGGGAATCAAGACTAGAAACAGAGAACAGATGAAGCAAACTATTTGTGACGCATACAATCAACAACGGAATAGTAGACACCCTTAATGATAGACACGGATCTGAGAAGGATCGAGAGACAGCCCTGCAAGAGGGCACCACAAAATTTCAGATAGAAAGGTACTTTAAATTTTCGCTGTGGCTATATGCCCGGCAGCCGGGCACGGTCTTTGATTTCCTAAATGCCCGGCAGTTCCTAACCCTAACCCTAACCCTAATTTACTTGAGATAACGCTGAAAATTAAAACCTGCCCGGCATTTAGGAAATCGAAGACCGTGCCCGGCAGCCGTCAGATATATGCCGGCTGCCGGGCATATAGCCACTCTGTTAAATTTACTTCTTTCTTTCTAAGAATGCGTGTAGATTGCGACACTCTCCCATCCGGATTGGTCTCAGCCCCACTCTGGAAGAGTTTAGACGCCGGTTGTGAAGGTTGCTCGTGCGATTGTTTGTGTTCGATAAGCAGCCAATTTGGCTAAATTATGACGAGATTTTTTTTAATTGATGGGCGAACCACGGCATGGCCATGGGTTACAGATTACAGTGTCAGTGTATACTGACTTACTATTATCACTAAATATAGGCCCGCTGCAAGCTTAACTATGCTAACCTACAAAGATTCCTCATCGGGTTCCTTCCTACTACTTTGTATACCCTGTACGTGGCGGATCGAGAGGCTACAGGGGTAGCGCTGTATCGCACTATCACTTCGCACTTGACATGTAACTTACATGCATTGTGTATTTGTAGTACGCATGCCATCGACACATGTAAGTTGTAACTCACTAACTGTACCAGTTTGTTACACACGATGACAATATCCTACAACGTGTTTTTGTTTACCGGGTTTCGTTATCGGAATCTAATACACACTCGATGACTTGGTCACATGCATATATAACGATGAAATATTCAACTTCCAACAATAAGTCGAACTTCACAAGTTCTTACTTGGTCTAGTTTGTTGATGTTTTTGCGCCATGATTGCGATTGCGACTGCACCGCCATCTGTGAGCAGCAATAGGCACCTGGCGCTAGTGCTAGTGCGAGTGTATGGCAGCATCAGAAACCGCATATCAATGGCACAGATATTACACATACAAGGTTAAAATAGATTCCTTAGCGTTTCAGCATAAAATCGTAGCTATACTCTTAGCAATTTATTTGGTTGTAACATGTCGGTCTTTACTAATGCGAAGCTGTCATAGACATAATACACTATGGTCCTAGTGTCATGACATCCCATGTTCTCGCGAAGCGGAAAAAAATGATGTAGATATTTCTATGCCACAATATACTATACGTGTATTTTTTATTTTCTAAAAATAATGTTTAAAAAAAGAGCACATAATCGCGAGGAGCTTAATTAAAACTGACCATGCTAGTCTGTCACTCTAATATTCATAACTGCTCATGCAGTCTCCCCCAACCTCTGTGAAAGGTGGCATAGATAATGGAATCAATCTCTGCACGCGTTATGGCTAATATCTGCTAAAAACATACTAATTCTCTAGAAATAGGAGAACTCTCAAAAATTGCACGCCGCTCAATGCTAATATTATTAACTTAATTATAATTATAAATATAATTTAATTATTAATAAACATCAACACGTTCGTATTTTTGTCATTTTACCGCCAGTGATTAGCAAGGTTTTATTTCTCATTAAGATTTTTACAAAAAAAAACTAATTTTAATCTACAATTAGCAAGCTGCTGACAGTGTTTACGGAAACTTCACTAGTCTATGGTCTATAAAAGCTAGAATGTTGAAAACACATGTACTATACACATCGTAAAATAAATGATACAAATGATAAAAACACAATGTCGACACTTGAAATTCGCTGGATAAAAAACTAGAAAGATTTATCAGGAGAATTGCTACGCGATTGACATATCAGATAAGGAAGTTTCCATACCAGACATAAAAACGTAAATTTGGCTCACAACCAAGAACGGGACGCATCAACAGCTGTGGTTTCTACACTATTAAATAAATATGAACAATTCCCTCACACTCACTTATGTATATTATAACATATTGATATTAAAATCTCACAATTACAATTTGATTCGCTGCAAACGCGACCATCTTATAAAAGTTTCCCTCGCGTTATTCTCCGCCTTGTAAAATTTTCACGCAGCAGATACCATCTGCGCATTCCACAGCAAACATCATGTAAGAATTTCACCGACACATACACAGCTAATCGTTCGGCATCCCATTCACGCGCTCTAGCTGTGTGTAAGGGTCTCCTCTCTTATATTCTCCCTCCAGCAGCACCGAAACTTGACGATCCTTGGAGAAGAACTCGCAGGCAAAGACACACGATTAGTCTAACGGACATGGAAGCGCACCCTTCTCACCTCACGTTACAATACATCAACAGTTTTCATCCATCGCGCAGCCAAGTCTACACGGCATGCGTTTTCGAACATCATTCGAACGTTTCATACCAAGTTAAGAACATATATTATCTATATACAGCACCACATGTTATGAAGAACCAGTCTTCGGGGCCACGGTAATTCTTTGCAATCATTAAAGAACTTTGTGAGAGATAAACTCGCAGTGCGTGCGTAGTGCACCCCACACTACGTAAGTCGTAACTACAATCGCCAATGACAATGTGCCCCAGGTGAATACATTACAGCATAACCTAAACCCCACGTGCTATCAAGATCACAAGAGCATGTACAGTGGTCCAAGCGCTGCTGTACTTAATGTATAAAAGAACCAATACGATCGGAAGGAAGCTCTTTTGATTCAAAAAGAACACGAGAACAGCTATTTTCGCCAGAAGCTGCTGGGTACATACTAATGATAAGTATGTCTGATGATGCGATTACGTCACCTCACTGCCACGCTCGTACGCACACAACTAGGATTTACACGAAACCATAATTAGAATTAAAGGATGTTGGCAACGTTAATTGCTGGCTCTGTCTCAAGCCAAGTGCATAACTTGGAAGGTTGCGTTTCTACATTAAACACGAAACAGCTAGTCCAGCTATCACATTCACATACTAACTATACATATGTCTCGGACACACTAGCAACGCGTCGACCAAACAACAAGAGCACAGCCACCATTTGCGCAGACTCTCATGTCAATACCAACACACACACAAGCACACACACATTCGCATCCAAGATCGCCAGGCTGTGCATGGCACCATGTGTTTGTTGGTAGTGACCACGAAACCAGCACCAACAGTGACATCATCCTGGATAGTGGCTGAATACACACTGGCAATTAATGTGTAATTATGTTATTGCATAGTTAACTGTACACAGTCATATACAAGTCGGTAACAACCATTGACTCGTTAAAAAGTACTGAACAGTAGGTTTTTTTTTCAAGTAAACTTAACTGAATTCACATCCTGAATTAACTAGTAAACCGCCTTAATTTGCACAACCCTAAAACACCCCAGTCTCTCTTACTTTACTCACAATTCACAACACCTAGAACCAAAACATAAAAAAACCACCTGCTGCCTTTGAAAATATGATCATATCCCATAGCAAAGTTATGTTTATATATCCTTCACTGGCCATAAAAACAGTACTGAAAAAACTTAAATATGCACAACCTATTGGGCATTTCCAAGGTCAACACTATCGTTGACTGTTAAAAAACGCATTGTAATTCGGATACTTGCCGGTTTTACAACCATTACACGTTTAACGGTTTCAACCTCACTCACTGTATCCATCCATTATTCAAACTAGATGAACCTTAATAGGAATACACCTGTGACGTCGCTGTGGGTGTCGCCGCGACACCTGTGACGTCGCTGTGGGTGTCACCGCGACACCTGTGACGTCGCTGTGGGTGTCACCGCGACACCTGTGACGTCGCTGTGGGTGTCACCGCGACACCTGTGACGTCGCTGTGGGTGTCACCGCGGGGTGGTCAATAGTTAGTTATTACTTCTGATTTAGCTCAAAGTGCAGATCTGACCACCGAAGTAGCATCAGTGTAAATTCTCAGACACTGCTGTCCTGCCTTCTGTTGTCATTTCTATTGAGATTTTTTTTCATTTCAATGTTTAGGCAATTTTATTGAGTTGCTGTTATACCAGTACGTTGGGTTCTTGAATGTAGAAGTCGCCTGCTTGTAGATCGGGTTTTCTCCCTGAAAAAAAAACAGCAACATTGAATTTTCCATACATAGTTTGAAAACGATTACATTATCTTCATGAAATTACTGCAGAAACAAGTTATTTAAGCAAAATCTACTAATAGAAACATGAGGCATTGTGAGATCACGAATAGATCTTTTCGTTATGACTCCAGTAAAAAATGTGTAGCCATGCTTGGACCACTACAAAATTGTTAAATATAACCAAACAACTCAACAATATTCATTATTCGTGACTATGTATATATGTATACACACGTAGTCCTGAATAACCAATTTTCCCTTCAATTTACTCAGATATAAAGTTACAATGCGTAAAACAAAATTCCGAATCGAACGAGACCGAACTAGAAACGCTAGTTACGCTACCGCGCGCAGCAGCCAACACAAGGACATCTTTCGCTCGGACACGCACGCAAAGTCCGCCACAGATGGCGCCACCACTCACCGTGTCCCACTTGGCGTTCTGGCGTTCCTTCTCGAACTTGGCGAACTCCCTGCGGTCATGGATCATCGTCAGCAGCTTCCAGATAATGAGGAGAGCGAGGCCGACGGCGACGATGCCACCAACAACGCCGGCGATGATGGCGGCGAGGGGAACCGGCGGGGGGCAGTGCTGAAACACACGCACACCGGTTACTATATACATACTACCTACAGATCTGCTATAGATGCAGTACATATACACATATAAGCAATACTGTGTACGCATGCATGCACGCACACACACACGTTACTACACACAGATCTGCTAAAGGTGCGGTACATATACACACATAAGCAATACTGTGTACGCACGCACGCACACGTTACTACACACAGATATGCTAAAGGTGCGGTACATATACACATATAAGCAATACTGTGTACGCACGCACGCATGCACACACGCACGCATACGTTACTACACAGAGATATGCTAAAGGTGCGGTACATATACACATATAAGCAATACTGTGTACACACGCACGCACGCATACGTTACTACACACAGATATGCTAAAGGTGCGGTACATATACACATACAAGTGCCGCATAGCGACAGCGGGCAGCCACCATCGTCGGCCGCTGCTGATTCACGAATTCGTCTTCGCGGTGCTACGCGCGCGAGATCAACCTCGCGTTAGATTTGTCGTACCTTGGTCTTCTGTGCCCTGATGATGACGACGTCGGATTCCGGCTGGGTGTCGATCGTCTTGTTGTACTCGTACGTGAAATAGAACGTGCAGCCGTCGGTGTCCTTGAACTGGCACTTACGGACGCCCGCCTCAGCATCCTCTGCAAAGACAGGTACACAAAACATGTTAACGAACCTATTATGCTACCTGTAAAACTGCTTAAGCATCCTCTGCACAGACAGGTACACAAAACACATTAATGAACCTATTATGCTACCTGTAAAACAGCTTCAGCATTCTCTGCAAAGACAGGTACAGAAATCACGCTAAACAAAAACCTATTACGCTATCTGCAAACACGAATCCCTCGCTGCAAGCAAATTTAGACAGCGCTAGCTGTTTCAGTGAAATACATTACAGGTCACACCATTGCCCAACATAAAGCTAAGTTTTAATATTACAAGGCTCCACAGACTCACTCTCGCATCGACTTTTCCATGACATGACTGTCTGTCACTTAGCAATCTACAAATATTCTGCGATTACGTAACTAGAGAACTAAACATGAAACAAAACAGCCAAAAAAAAAAGATCATAGAGATAGATCATCATAGGCATCGGCGTCTAACGCCTCCGTGTCCGCGTGTCCGACACTCACCGTACACTTCGTCCTCGGGGATGATCGTCTTGTTCGCGCAGTTTGCGTCGCACAGCTCCTTGGTGTCGTAGATGCCCGTGCCCCACATGACACACTGCACGCAGTCGCGGTTGTCCTCGCACTGTCCCGCGCAGGTCGGGCAGTCCTCGCACAGCGGGCCGCGGTACAGGCTGTCCGCGTCGCACAGGCACCGCCCGCAGTCACACTTGCCGTGGCCTGGCAGTGGAGAAACACGCAGGATTAATGATAACGACGAGAACACACGAGCATGTCTGAGCCGATGATGGAAACAATAATTATAGTAAGAATAATAATTATGATGATAATGATGATGAGGATGATGATGATGACGATGATGCTGATCGTCATCATAATAATAACAATAATAATGATGATAATAGTAGTAGTAGTAGTAGAAGTAGTAGTAATAATAGCAATAACAATAATAATATATAATAGTTATAATAATAGTAATAATAATAACAATAATAATAATAGTAATAACAAACGATCAGCAGGTGTGTACCACATCACTGTGGAAAATCACAGCGGCCTCGTGCGTCACCCTCGCGTTTACCTGCACAGATTAGTCCGTTATCGGCCATGCAGCTCTGTTCGGAGCTGGGACACTGGCACCTGTCGCCCTTGTACTCCGGCTTGCACACGCACTTGCCGCAGTCGCACTCTCCCCGCCCAGTGCCGCCGCATATCGCTAGCTTGTAGTTGCCGCACGAGAAATTGTCGCACTGGCAGACCTCCCCCCACACCCTCTCTCCTGGTTTCTGCAACAACGACGACGACAACAACGATGTTAAAGTTTGAGAAGGACAATGTGAATAAGTGCGCTTGTCATACCCTTTCGTGTATTTATCCTTGTTAGTTATCCAGCTGTATATTTGATTTGAGTACGTATTGTTTTTAATGTGTTTTGAAAATGAACTAAATAAACAAATTATAACAGATAGGATATGGAAGATATGGAGGTTAATCTTCGATTATCTCGATGCACGATGCATCTCACAGGATGTTCCCACTGCCACCACTGGCCTCTAACAATTTCCTTTGTTACACACTCATCCACCACGTAACGCCATATGTGCCGAGATCAACGACGACGACGACGACGATAACGGGGTCGACTTGTGCGCGCGTACCTCTCTCTCGTAGCACTCGCAGACGCCGCACACGCACTCGCCACGCCCGAAGCACGTCTGCGCGCTCGTGTCGTTGGGGTTGAGCTTGCAGCTGTCCTCGCTCGCGTCTCCCGTGTACTGCTTCGCGTCGCACTCGCACTGACGACCCTTGAACCCGGGCGGGCAGTCGCAGATGCCGCACTCATACCTGCGCAGAGAGAGAGAGAGAGGGACGGCGTCAGTGGAGTAGGGATTGCAGTTCGATTAGCGATGGACACATACACGTATGCGATCGATAGAGAGACACGTGAGATATATAGAGAGACCTATATAGAGACGCACAGTCTGTGTAATCCAAAAATAGATGTGCGGTCTATACGATCTATAGAGAGAGACGTGCAATCTCCATAATGGCTTCGAAAAGCCGTCGACGGAAGCACGGACGAATTGCACAAACAGATCGCGCGAGGGGACGATGGGGACAAATCACGAGAACGAATCTCGTGTGGGGGCGACAGGATCAGGGTAAAAAATACACGGGAGCGATTCGCTCTTCAAACCTCCCGTGAGGCTCAAAATAGCTCCTGTAAAATTATTGACAAGAGCTATTTTTTCCACGGACTTTTTGAAAAGAGCTCCCGTAAAAAAAAAAAATTCCCCTGGACGGGACGACGCGAAATTATTTTTCCCACTTGAGTTCCGGACCCCAATCTTTCCACAGCCAATCAGCGCACTCCATTCACTTGACTTCACTCTTATTTAGCATATGTCATGTGTGATTTTCAATAACCCTGTATTTAATTAAATTTATTAGTGTTAATTAAATTTAATTAGGGTTAGGGTTAGGGTTAGGGTTACGGTCTGGAACTGCAGTGGGGAAAAAAATTTCCCTGGACGGGACGGCAGGCTTACGTTCCCGTGCCGTTGCAGCGCGGGCTGTCCAGAACGCCGGAGCTCTCGCAGTCACACTCGCATTCAACGCGCAGCCGGATGCGCAACTCCTCATTGATGTTCACCGGCTTGATGACCAGCGTCTGCTCCCCGTTCTCCGGACACGAGTCGACCGTGATCGTCACGTTGAAGGTCACCTTCAAGGTCACAACGTGAAACGTCAAGGACGGCGTCGAACGGATGGGGGGGGGGCACCAAAGACCCACGGGCAGTGATGAAACGGGCGCTGAAGGTGACGTTGAAGGTCACCTTCAAGGTCACAATGACAACATCGAAGGTCGATGGCGAAACGCGGCCGACGTCGCCAATGTGTTTTGCGCCACGCTCACATAACATGACATGAGGGTGGTATAAAGGGTTGACCCCCCCCCCCATGACCTAGGTCAGTATAATGCTGGGAAAACACGCACTGTCACTTCGACCGCTATAGTTTAAATCGAGGCTTCCTCACAAAAACCTAAAGGGAAGAAGAGTAGAAGAAACAACAGAAAAGCTGTACATTGCAGTAGATTGAAATAGTACATATTTACATATAGTGAACTAACGACGGCTTGCTATCAATGTACTCGAATTATGTTGAGAACAATCCTGAAGATGAAGGCACTTACAGTATCTCCAACTTTCATGCCCATGCACTTGTTGGTTTCTTCAACTTCATTTCCCAAGCAGCTGCTGTGGTATTTCACGGTGATGCCCTCGGTAGCGTTGTCCGACAACAGCACCTCCGATCGGATTTTCTGCGGACAAAAGACGTTGATTCTCACATCATCCATTGTTAGCACAGATCCAACATGTTGTCGTGCAGGTACATATAGTATGGGAATGTGATTAGTGTAGTACCAGTGAAAGGTGACCAACGCTCGTACGGTGAATGCGAAACATACGTTCCTAGCAATGCATGTACTCTTATGAACGATACACACACACACAAGTACGCACGCACGCACACACGCACGCGCACACACATGCACACGCACGCACGCACACACACACACACACACACACACGCACGCACACACACACACACACACACACGCACCCCTCAGCCCCCACCAACCCACACACACACACACAAGACAACCAACAATCAAAGTTTCAAAACGATAAACCGCGCTCGCTCACATCGTAATTCTCCTGTACGAGGTCGACAATGTTGGAGGAGTCGTTGGCCAGCACGCCCGCGGTCGAGCCGTGAATCAGCGCACTGAGCTCGTCGTACACGCCAAACGTGTTCTCCGTCACGGCGAAGATCAGGTTGATCGACTTCTCCTTGACGACCCTGATCAGCTGGCTGATAGACGGGTAGTCCTGAAGGTCAAAGTTCGAAGGTCAAAGTTCGAAGGTCAAAGTTCGACAAGGACATTTACTTAGATTCTTTCTAAGAAATTACGCAAATTATATACGTAAATTGCGTGAATAAGTTCATTCTAGTAAGTTCTTTTACATTGCTTCAGATATTTATTTATTTATTTGAAAAGCTGATAAATCGTTGTGTGTTTCCGACGATTCATTCATTCGTCACATCACGAGGATTATCATCAAGTTCTATCACGGCCATGACATTTGTCACAGACTTGTCAGTTTTCTTACGACCGCCTCCTGGCCTCGGAGTAAGGAGGCCAAACAAATACACTTGCACTACGGCGTTAGAGAGCGCGGCATCCTACCAGTTCCGTTGCCATGGTGTACTCGTTGTTCCGCATGTGGCAGACGCCGTCGTTGGGCTTCACGATTCCTCCCAGCTTGCCGTCGCCGGCGTAGTGGAAGCTGGCGTCCGTCGAGAAGATGACGAGATGGCGAGCCACCTTGCGCCAGCCAATCGCATCCTACGCACGAACAAGAATTCGCGTGTAAGGAGATAGTTTCATGGTATGATTTTAGTTACAAGAACGTATTACACACAAAGACAAACAGAATTGTACTCAATATGTAAGATAACCATGAAGGTTTTAATACTAAAAACTAATACTATAATATTAAATAATGCTTAAATTTCAGTGTTTATTATACAAGATTATGCCTACTAATAGAATAGAGGTAAGATCTATACTCATAACAATATGCTATTTAATGACACAAGGTCTGTAGAACCCCCTGTAGTCATTTCAAGCGTACACCCCGTACAACGTATATCAGTTAATTTGACAAAGTTAATTTGGTTTCGGTTACGAGAAGACGCCGTTCAAGGCTGTGATTGGTGACGTTGTGTGGCTTGCTTACCTCACACACGATAGCCTGCATCAGGGCGTCCATGCCACCTTCAGGAGAGTCAAGGTTACCCGACACTGGAGTCTCAGTCACCTTTGCCTGTATTTCGATTTATAAATAAAGCACCAGTGTTTGTGCAACAACACCTACACTTGGATTTGTAAATAAAAACACCTGTGTTTGTGTTCATAAACAAAATACCTAAACTTGGATTCGAAATAAAAAACCTGCACTTTATGTTATTGGTTTCCACTTGCTTTATATCATAAAACTTGACATAACCTTAAAATCATGTCACAACTTTTGAAGTGAAATGCCGTGCAAAAGATATGACTTTTTAGACCAACATTCATTTTTTTATACCGAGTTATAATAGTTTATTATTTATACTATTATGTATTATACTGCTATTATACCATTGTTACTATTGACGATATTTCTGACAACGACCCCCCCTGGTCACTAAGTGGCTTCTAAGTTCTAGCTACAACAAGTACTCACAGAGAACAGTTTCGTGTTGGTTGTCAAGTCGAGGTGATGCTTGAAGCTGTAGGGTGCGGCACAGCCGTCACAGGGAGCGTTCAGCTTCGCAGGGACCGTGCTAACGTACGGCATGACCGTCTTGTCGACAAACGAACCGAAACCGAGGCGGAAGTTCTTTGTGATGCTCTGCATCTTTGCGGCTGCGCGGCAACAGAGGCAGGTAACTCGTTAGTTGTTACCTGTACAAGGTGTTACCCAGCAGGAGCACATCGTCTGAAGCCCATGCACCGGATTGACACGGGAAATACAGTAGTTAGTTGATGTAGCACACATCTCACGATACTGAATAAAATGTATTACGGCTAAGAGAAAAGCTTGGCCATGGTTCAGCGTGGGTTGCGAGTCTAGTTATTTCTGGTAATAATAAATTTCTCGTGCTTATGAGGCCACACAATTATTGTTGTGTTATTGTAACCTACTCTAGTCGGGATAGCACCTACCTAGAATATCTCCCAGGGCTGCCAGCTGGGACTTGTCATCCTCCATAGAGTTAGACAAGTCCATGAGGTAGTACAGATCTACGGGGTAGTCCATGGCCTGCCTGTACTCCATAGTCATAGTATATGGCTTATCTATGCAAGTAGAAACACGACACTTGATCGCTAGATGCAAACAACAGATGGACAAACAGCCCTACTACAGTTAATCTTTCGTTCTACGCATCCGCCAATAAAAATCTGACTCGAAAAGAAAGCCAGAAACGTGATCTAACAAAAGCTGGAAATGTATATCAAAAGAAATGTGGAAACGTGATCAAAAGAAAGCTGAAAATGTGATCAAAAGAAATCTGGAAATAGGATCAAAAGAAAGCTGGGAAAAACGTGATCCGTAATTTCTATCATTCGCTGCTCCGTACGGATGCTGGTAAACCATTACTACGAACCAACGTATTGGAACTAATACACATAATTATCATTGGAACTAACGTCGGAAAACCAGGGTGTGGGTACGTACGTGGTCTAACGGTCAGTGTGACCTCCTGCGGGTACACCTGCACGGCCTCATCCTGGACCCCTACAGACCCGCTGGACAGCGGATCGGCCTTGTCCACCATGAACTTCGTCGAAGGGTTCGTGATGAACTCGTCAGAACATTCCTTCGACTTGAGGTTGTTCAGCGTGTCGCAACGCGACCCCTGACCTTCGAACCCCTGCCGAAATATATAATATATAACACGTCTTTGGTTCCACGCCAAGGTAATAACTTCCATTATTGTATTAGGAGTTGTGGCTGAGGAGCCGTGGTTGAACGAAGAATTTAGGTGAAGTTATTTGCCTAATAATTATCAAAATACGAATAATAATTTCCATTATTTTATTAATTATTATTATTATTATTATCTGTTTTCAATATTTTCAATAGCATTTAGCTGAAGTTAACAAAAAATTGTGCTAAATATTTATCAACATACATCTTGCGTGCACCAAGCACAGCTTGGGTTGCCGGTGATGCAGTCACCACACGTCTTGAATGCTGAACATGGGTTGGAGGATGAGACTGTGTCCTGAGCTAGTGCAGTTGCCAGAGCAGCCAGAAGAAAAACTATCCAAACGTTGTGCATTTTGCCTGAAAACAAATTTTTTTTTGATAAACAGACACATTGTGTTAAGAAAACTTTTTGTTTGTTACAAATATATCACCATTTCAGTATGTAAATCTACCATAACAATAACATAACATTAGTATCACACGCAACAATGTATGTAACAGTGGTTGATTTTTTTCCCTATATATAAAAAAGGGCAAGGCAAGTGCTTTTGGTTTCATCGGAACTTTTGGGGCACCATGGAATACACTCAAGATTCACAAGGGGGTTTTAAGAACAATTCCCTTTTAACAACACTATTTTATGTATTAGACAATTTAAGAGCATGAGATATATGCAGCACTGAATATATAAGCAGTGCATTGACGTAAACCAGATAGGGCAGCCACAGTAATTCATTGGTGTGGATATTGTCCCATTTTCATGGGTATCACTGCAAGTATGCAAGGCAACAAAAACAGTGCTGTCAGTGCTGTGGTGAAATTCGAGTCACGATGTAAGATTAATTTATGCTATAAAAGCTCCCCGAAACAAAGGAAACAGAAATAATCCTACCTGCAAATCATCCACAGACCGGTAAATAAGGGATTGGGACCATGTATTGATACCGTAATTCACAGAATCCAACCACAAATGATCACTGCGTATTTCTCCCCGATTCAGGCAGAACAAGGTGTTAGTAAGTCGTAGTTGGCAACTCAGATGAGATTCACGTAAATAGGACTGCCGACAAACTTATATACACATATATATATATATATATATCCGGCTACAGCGTTTGCAGTTAAGGGACCACAGCTCCGGAAAATGTGTGTGCACTATGTGGGAGGTTAGTCACTCACAACCTGCCCCTGCAGCTGCCAGTGTTGAGTGAATGAGAGGGCACACAGTACAGCCAGTGTAGCTGCTGCACACATACACAGGAGAGATACAGCTGTGGGGTGCAGTAGGGGTGTGGGTGAGTAAATACCACCTACATGTGAAACCTACCTACGTCCTGAAACAGTACTCTGTATGATAGCACTGCCGAAATGCGTGAACGAAAAAGCAAAATGTAAAACTTGATGGCAAGTATATTATGATATAGATCCAATAATGAAATACATTTTCTCTTCATTCAACACAAACTGTACAGATGCACACACAAAAACTGTTACAAAATTCATCTAGTTATTACAGATGGGGATAAATAATCAGGGAGGTATTAATTGGCTGAATAAACATAAAATCTTGCATTTATATATAACCAGTAAGGTAGGCTCATGAGATACACACATCCCCACATTGCCCCACCCATCCACCCCCCTATTTATAATTATTGAACCCAAAGACAGCTAAATGAGGAGCATATGGCCGCAGAAGTGCTGCTGCGCTCATGCCAAATCTGAGTCATGCAGCATCCGTGGCTGGGTGCAGGTTCAACACATGACAACACAGAGAGGCATGCTTGCACAAAGCCCAGTGAGATGCCAATGACTCGATCCGCTACCCGAGTGCAAGATCCATGGGAGACGCGTTAGCCACTTTTTTATCGATGGCCAATTTTTGAAATAAAGCAGACCATAAGTACATATGATTGAATGAGTGAATGTATATATATGTTGGTTTCTCATACACTACAGTCATTTCTACCTCTAGTGTAGAAGTGTAAATGCAAGATGTTATAAGGCCACGCACACTCAACACTGCACTGAACATACTTGGTAGTTTTACTTAGTAAACTTGTACTTTTTGGACAATTTACATTGTAATTCATAAACATTCCTGAATCAATTTTTGACATGTATGCTTAGATTTTGACACACATGCATCCCAACTCAATCCATCTTTTGTGAGTGTGTCAGTGGCGTGCAAGTGGTAAGATTCACGCGTTGTGGGGGAGGGGGAGTACTCAAACGAAATTTACGTAAAATGATTGGGCGATATAAAGTACAGAATCAGACTTCTCCCCAGTAACAAATTCACTATGAGATGAAGTAGTCGTGACCCAGGGGCATGACCACAGGGCTATGAGCTTAGGGTCCTAAACAGAGTCCAGCATACTCTCCTACTATTCAGGACTGTCCACGAGAGGGGAGGAGGGTGAGTATACATTGAGATAGGCTCTACATCTTCTTTAATGTGTACCAGAGGATTCGAAATTTGTCAGACTCGGACTGAGGGAATTTGGGGGGGGCAGGTCAGGAAGATTTTTCTCGCGTGCCATACCCAGTGTCCGGCGCTTATTTCCCACTGGGCAAAGTTGGGTTTTTCAATCACAATATACTCCCAATAGATGCTAGTCTGATCTGTACAATATCTGAATACTATTCTACAGTACGAGAACCTCCCCACGTACATGCACGCCACCATATGCCCATACTAACAAAAGTTAAATCAAGTTTCAAGTTGGAGAGCATGGGTGCGAAAATTGCAACAACTCGCTCACTTTGTTAAAAAATTATTACCAACAATAACGACAACAACAACAAATTCATTGGGTCCGCGACATTTCAGCTCATTGTAGGACCAACTGTTGGGCAGAGAAAACAAAATTATATTTGATAGTGTGTACCAGTGGTGCCCGCAGATAGAAGTACTGGAAGCACAGTGCTTCCAGTAAATTTTGGGTTAAACAATTTTGTTCCTACATCTCTCTCGCAAGACTCACCAGATTGCATCTCCAGACGTCTACCATTGAAAAATTTTCAGGGGGGGCATGCCCCCAGAGTCCAGACCCCCCTAGCATGCAGCGCGCCTACGGCGCTTGCTTTTTATTATCACCGAGGATTTTATCCTTCTGTGCTTCTACTTTCTTAAGACCTGTGGGTGCCAGTGGTGTGTACTAAATAATTTTTTAAGACAAGCATCTAAATATTAAAGTGTAGAGTGCGCAATTCATCATATTAGCTTACACGCTTGCTGCGCAGCATTTTATGTGGGTACTGGCATTGTGTAGCATGTACTGATTGAAGTTATTGTATGATACATGCAAATATTTGCAAAGATGTAGCGAACAAGGAGAGCAAGACCTCAGCGGCACGCCAAAAAATGAACAAGGAGCTGCGGCCTGTTCCAATAGATCAGGGAGAAGACTGACTAGGTACCATTAAAACTTTGTTTGTAAATACAAATCGTATTTATTTAATATAATTTTATTCTTGGAATGTCAAAAGTTCTTGAAATTCCTTCGCTTGAACTCGTTTTGACAATTCAGGGATCTACAATTGTTTCATATTCTTCTACCACTGTTCTGTATGAAGCCATCTCGTCAGGTGAGTACCGCATGAGCCTTTATTCCGCATTCAATTAACTAACCATGCGCCGATGATGCGGCCCTGGCCCAACGCTAGTCGTTAACAAATCCTGGATCTGCCCATGCTAACGCTGAGAGGGTCTAGATGTACCCCCAAAGTACTGCCAGAACGTACCCTGGTACTATCTAATATGCCGGACCGTACCTCGCCTACTCCACTAACGAGTCTACTCTAGGGAGTGGCCTACGCCTACTCCCTAACCATATCAGATAGTTACCAGGGTACGTTCCGGTATACCGGACCGTACCCAGGGTACGTTCCGGCAGTACCCTGGGAGACATAGACCCTATGAGCCATGCTAACTAGTAGCAGTAGTACTAGTTTTAGTAGTACTCGTAGTGAACCGACCAGGCTCTCCGACTAGTTACACGGCGGAGGTTACACAGTTACACAGCCTCTCGCCACGTAGTGTTAAGCGAGATGGGAACTTGTGGCTGTTGTACCCAAACTTGGAATCTGCACAATCTCGAGATTGTGCAGCGATTGTGCTGCCCAAACTGCGGATTCCCTAGTTTGGCTGACCAATCTCAAGATTGGGCAAACTGAAAACAGTTGGTGATTCAACAACCGCTCATAGCGAGTGTGTGGTGTGCGTGGTGCAAACTAGGAAGAGATTTATCTCATTATTTATCCAATTATTTATTATAAATATAATCATTTAATATTTATACAAAGGTGCCAAACACATTGAGGAAAGAAGGTATACGACCTTATAGTTATGATATAAGTTTTTATTATAACATTTGAAATCCTAATAATCATATGTTTGTGCAAGCTCTGTTTACCTCTGTTTGCCCAATCTCAAGATTGGTTGCCCAAACTGCGGATGCGCTGAAATTCCAAGTTTGTGCAAGATTCCAAGTTTGGGCACAACATGGCTATACTCGTAGTAGTAATTCACTAATTGCATAGACCGAGTTAACCCGACCAGGCTGTGTGACTAACGTCAATACACCGCCTGACATCCATCCATTGAAAAATCTTGTAG